CATGGCTGGCTGGGGAATTCTGGGGGTTGAAGTCCACACATCTTCAAGCTGCCAAGGTTGAGAAACACTGGGATAAAGAGAGAAAAAAAACTTGACTGGTTTATACATGTATGTGTGAGAGAGGCCCATTTTGTTAAGCAGAAAGTTGGGTCAGAAGAAACTGCATCTTCAGCTCCCATCAGCCGAGATCACAGTGGTGGGAAACAGAATCTTACTCTGGAGAAATCTTAGTTGTAATTTAGTGGCCTGACTTTGGCCCGAGGGCAAAGTGATTTAGCAGGATCACAAGTGAAAATACGTCGAGTTCTGTACAGTGCTCTTCCTAGGAAATAAAGCCCCTGCCATGGAGCCATAGATGTAAAAATCTAGAAGGATGCCTAATTGCTCAGTTTCCGATTTGACTTGGAAGTGTCCTTATCACACGCACCCCTTGGGCACCCACGTGAAAGGTGTGCACGCCTTTGGCATCGAATTAAATCTTGGTCCGATGGGGAACTGGAGGGTCAGATGGACAAACCATTGTTAAAACCATCAGAGGCTTTTCAACAGAGGGGTTTTTCTTATGGCTCACTTAACAGAAACTCACCTATTGTATATTGAAAGGGACACCAACTTTTCCGTAGTATTTAAAAGCATAACCGAACCGCCACGAAAGCTCCAAAACCGGGTGTGAAGCGCTGGGGCACCTTCGCCTGATTTTTGCAACCGGTTTTCTCTGCGCTCTTCCCAAGAGGAGAAAATGCCAAATTCTCTCCCTTCCTCCGTGCAAACACAAGGTTGGCTCCTCCCCAGAGCAACTAGCGCGATCCATTTCACGCCCACCTCCTACAGGTTGGAGTCTGAGTTTCCAAGCCATCGCAGCGATACTCATTCACGAACGGGCAGCTCAGAGAAGTGGTAAAAGCAGGCGGTTGCTGCGTAATACCTACTCCTGGCATTCACGAGGAATGCGAAGCCGCGGCACGATTAAGCCACAACGGACTAGCTGCGCGAGGCCCAAACAAGCGAGCCACGTTCCGGCTTAGCGTGCGGGGGAAACGCCACCTCTCTCCACAAACGACACCGGTGAACTCCCCAACGTTTTCTCGGCCTCCCCTCGGCTTGCCGCCCAACCAGCGGCCCAAAGCACAGGGTGGTTGTGCAGGGCTCCAGCCCGCCGCTCATCCCGCGCGTTTTGCAACGGAGTGCAAATCACTCAGCCGGGCTTGTCCAGCCCCGGCCTGACACACACGGTCAGCATTTAACCCCCCGCTTAAAACGGGTTTAAACGTGGACGTTCTTGCGCGGGTGCGCGTCTTCCTAAGTTTCCAAACTCCGGATGCCAGTAACCCGAAGACGAACGGATTTCGCTAAGCGGACCACCGTTGGCGTCGGCATTAAGACCCGTGTTGGGGAAGGGGGTCGCCTTCGGCCCCGGGGCTACCGGATCGGCGAAAATCCGGGCCAGCGCGAGAGAGCAGGGAAGGACGAGCCTTTGCGGCATTCGCCTGCTGCAACGCACGTGTCCGGATCGGGTAGCCCCCTTCCTTCCTCCCTCCCTCCCTCCCCCACCCCATCCACAGCGATGGCGAACTGTCAAGGCTTTT